CCCCCAGGCCCTCCCCCCACCTCCGACAAATCGAATTCCCTAATGGCAAGAGCTCTGGTTCGTTACCAACATTGTGTTAAGCCGCGAAATCCATGATGCAACGAACCGTGAATATTCGAATTTACATTTTACTCCCCTGCGTCTACCGGAAAGAGTTATCTTCGTTTTCTCGGACGGGAGGGGGTGGAATTCCGGTGAGTTTTTTCGGAGGAAAACGGAGGGACAGAGCAGGGAAAGGTGGAGGACCCTTCAACAGGTGTCGAAGGGTCTCTAATGGGACTGGGGTAAGGAGCCTAGGGCGTCTAAACCACTGGGACACGGGGTATTGCACGTCTCGTGCTCCACTAACCCCCAGTGTCGAGAGGCTCTCGCTCGATTGCGGGGAGGGATTGCGATGGCTGGAAACAGGTGACATTTCAGGGGGTTGACTGGCCTTTTTGGGGAGGGGGATACTGAGTTCTTAGAGACAGGGGATTGTGAATTTTTAGGCAGCAGCAGAACGTGAATTTTTGGCGGAAATTTCCGGGGTATTTCGTGGCAATTTTTGTCGATTTAATTGTCTGACATTTCAAGGAATTTCGCCATTGAAAATTCAGGGTTTCGGGGAGAAATCAAGGGGAACTGTAAATTTCAGTTCCATTTCTCCTTGAATTTTCAGGCCGGTGACAGTGAATGTGATTTAGGGGGAAAATCATGAAATTTCAGATTTCACTGAAAATTCACTGTAATTTCATGAATTTGAATGATTTCTATGAATTTGTATGGAATAATTTGAATGAAATTTATGGTTTTAAGTGGAACTAAATTCGATTCAAGAGAAAAAATAATGAAATTTCACATTTTTAAGTAGCGAAACACGAATTTTCACTACGAAATTACGCTGAATTTTTAATTAACGTAATTAATTAGAAATTAAAAATTTAATTGCCTCAAGTTTCCATTGATTTTTAAATGAAATTTTAAATTTTCAATTAAGAAATTCCTTGAAATTTCAGGAGAACTATAATTTGATGAAACTCTCTAAGAATTGTACTGGGAATTTCAGTCTAAATTTTTTCACAGTGTGGAGAGCTGACTTGTGCACCCAGAGAAATGGTTTATTTGAATAAAATAAAATTTGTTTGAATCAAATCATTTTTATTCAAATAAATAAACTGGATAAATTGGAAAACTCAAAATAAAGAGATTTATTTGGCTCAAATGTGTCATTCCTCTGGTTTTCCACTCGTTCTGCCCATATTTGCAGGATAATTATTATTAAATTCCCAGACCCTTCAATGAATTCCAGAATTCCCTGGACTTTCACTGTCATGCAATTAAATAAAAAATATTTAATTTTGTAATCAACGAAGCAGCACCCAGCAATCACAATTACCCGAGAAGAACAAATGTAAAATTTTCATAGAAATCCACTTCGTCGTTTCTCGTTAAAAACACTCAAAAAACTAATTAAAAACTACGGGAGCTCTTTTCCATCGATCTGTTTTTCAATTCAATTCACTGTGTATTCAGAGCAAATAAATTCGGGGAAATATTTTTCAATTCAGTGTTTTCAATCAGCCCGACACATGTAATTAATTAAATGTCGAATATAAAAAAAATTACAAAAAAATCAATTACGTGTCATTAAAAAAACAAAAAATTGAAGAAAAAATTGATGAAACAAATTTGAAAAAAGCTTTCTGAATGAGAATCTCACGCCAATCAAAGTATTAAAGCCAATTTCCACTTGGATTTAGGGGTGAAGGGAGAGAACAAACGGGAGAGGAGGGGCGGAGGGCTCTGAGGAAATTGTAAGGAATCTGTAAAATGAAGAGAATTAAATTTTAAAAAATTGAACAATTTTTTTAACTGCAAACATGATGATCAAAATATTGAACTTCATTCACTGTTGACTATTCAGATGAAATAAACTCAGAAAATATTTTTCAATTCAGTGTTTTCAATGAGCCCGCCACATGTAATTAATTAAACGAATTACGTGTCATAAAAAAAATTGGAGAAAAAATTGCTGAAATAAATTTGAAAAAAGCTCTCTGAATGAGAATCTCATGCCAATCAAAGTATTAAAGACAATTCCCACTTGGATTTAGGGGTGCAAGGGGGAGGCCCCTGAGGAGACGGTGTCGAGGGCGGTTTTGAGATTGTAAGGAGTCTGTAAAAACGACAAGGGAGGAGGGTGAATTCCCTCCTCGTATCTTTGTCAGATGAAAGGGTGGAAATAAGAGGGGCCGAGGGAGGTGAGGGGTAATGGTTGGTCGCGTGCTGGTCGCGTGCCATGGGCGGGGACATGAATTTTCCCTCTACCCTATAAAATCCTCTCCCCTCCTGTGCCACCACCCAAAAAGCCCTCTTGACGGTCGACGTGTCTCTGGCGCGTCGATCTCCCCCCCCCCCCTGCAGCCCTTGTCGGTTATTGATTCCCGCGGGTGGGCCACCCCACGTGGTAAGGAGGGAGGATGTCTTGGACCAACAAACCTTGTGATTTCATTTTCTGTTTGTGTTTTTGAATTCGGTCGAAGGATAATACTGAGGATTCGATGAGTCGAGTTGTTTGTTCACCGGAGAAATGATGTACTTTTGAATTAAGTAAACCTCTTCATTTCGATTTTTTTTATTTAGTTCAATGAAAATATTTTACTTATGGGAAATGAAGAATTCATTCATTTCAAATGAAGGATTATTACGCGTTAATGAATTTGATTATTCTATTTCTAACTGACTAGTGTCTTTAATTGAATTGCATCAACAGTTATTTATGTTTAAAAATGCGAATAAAAACTAAGTAGACGCATTTGAATTGCATAAAACTCCATTTTGTATTAATTTCAATGAAATGTTTTAATCATATGAAATAAATAATTCATTAATTTCACATAAATCCTCTATTTTTACGGAGTGAACAGTAATTTAGGTTTAAAAAACCCTTTATATGACGTGAGTAAAAATCAAGTTTAGGTTGTTCATTCCCGCGGATTATTAAACGTTAATAAATTTGATTATTCTATTTCCAACTGACTAGTGTCTTTAATTGAATTGCATCAACAGTTATGTATGTTTAAAAATGCGAATAAAATTAAATAGACGCATTTGAATTACATAAAACTCCATTTTGTATTAATTTCAATGAAACGTTTTAATCATATGAAATAAATAATTCATTAATTTCAAATCAAAATCCTCTATTTTCATTAAATGAACAATAATTTACGTTTAAAAAAACCATTTATATGACGTGCGAAAAAAACTTTGTAAAAATCAAGTTCAGGTTATTCATTCCCGCGGATTATTAAACATTAATAAATTTGATTATTCTATTTCCAACTGACTAGTGTCTTAATCAACAGTTATTTATGTTTAAAAACGCGAATAAAAATTAAGTAGATGCATTTGAATTGAATAAAACTCCATTTTGTATTAATTTCAATGAAACGTTTCAATTATATGAAATAAATAAATCATTAATTCCAATATACGCAGTCATTTAATTCATTTAATTTCTGGACTTGAAATCTCAGGATTATATTCTATCTAGAACGGAATTTCATAATTGTTATTACGTTGAATTTTTCAATTTCCCTCGCGATTTTTCTTGTGATTACAATCGAGGAAATTGAAAAACTTTTGTTAATAGAATTTCTCTTCCGGATTGGGGGCGGTGGGACGCAATGTGAGCTGAGAATGCTGAGAAGTTCAGTGATTACAGGAATTGATAAAATATAAATGGTCCACAGTGGAAGGGAAAAAAATCCCATCAAAGTGGAGAGTATCAGAGTATACATTTTTTAATACTCTTTTCAAGAGACTCAAGCAATCAGGATAATGTTCGAGAAGAAAGGAATTCCACTGGAGAAGATGACTCACCATTTTTTTCCATCATCAAAGTGTCCGAATCCCCCTGCACCTCAAAGACCTCTCGGAGAATCTTCGGGGGTTGAAGGCGAGTCCACGAAACTGCAACAAAAAAAAGCCATAAAAACCAAATTAATTTTCTCAAAATAGAACTAATTTTGCGAACGTCAATATCAACAGATAAAATTGATATCCCATGAATTCAAAAATCCACTGGGCTTCCTCTTCCTTCTTCAATGCACGGGACGTTCGATTGGGATGAGATTGACATGGGAAAACGAAGAAAACTACTAGGGAGAGATTGAGAGAGAAAAAGACATTGAAATGGAGAAAAAAATGGATGAAAGCGTGTGTCAGGGGCGGAGCGAAATGAAATGGAATCGCAAAAGGGGGTAAGCGTTATGAACAAGAGGGGGGTAAAAAGGCGTTTGAGGGGGCTGAGGAGAGGAGAATTGCGCGCGTCGAATGGCGGGGAGGATTGAAATGCCAGATGGAGGAATATCGTCTTCAACTTTATGACTCTTAGAGTCGTATTACTTGGTTTTTAGGGAAATGAGAAAAATAATTGGAGGAATTTAAGTCGTGAAAGCTTTTGGGTGAGATAATTAGACTATTGGATAAAGTATTGTTTAATTTTTTTTATATGTTATATTATTTATATTATTAGTTTATACTATTCTATTCTATTTTATTTTATTTCCATTTCCGTCTTCACAATTAGATTAATTCAATTTTATCCATTCTTATTCTTGTTATATTTTTTTTTTTCCTCAATTCACATGTTACAACATTGAATGAAGAGGAATTATTCTTAAAGATCAATAGCTCATAACAATCAATAATTCAAAACAAATCCACAAACCAAAAGTCATTCGAAACCTCATTCGGGTAATTTAAAACTTTATGTATTCCTGAAAATTTTTTTAATCTATTTTTTTCGAATAATGCAGGAATAGCCATAAATTCTATTTTTATCGCTGTCTTTCCATAGAATAAATAGAATAAATGACAAAAATTAAGAAATGGAAACGAAAAATTTTATGCGATTCTTATTCTTCTTCTTCTTCTTCTTCTTCTTCTTCTTCTTCTTCTTATTATTATAATTATTATAAGGAATCCAAAGAGTACCAAAAGCTCGATTTTATTGATCTTTTCCGCAGGCTATTTCATTACCAAAAAAATGATAAAAGTCGCGGACTATTAGAGTGACATTTTTCATACATTAAAGATCGATTATATGTGTCTAAAGACGAATAATTAGTGAAAAAAAATGAATTGTTTATTGTTCGTTTGTCCTGCAGACGCTGAAAAATTTTCAAATAGTCCATTTATTGTATACATTTTTTCAAAAATTTAGAAAAAATGTGTACAATAATAATTATGAGCTAGTTTTTTGAAATTCGACTTTTACACAGCTAATTTCATTTTTGTTTCAGATAAAAAATTGCACCATTCCTGTAAAATAGCCAGAAAAAGGTTTCTGAAAAAATCGAGAATATTTTTTAAATACTTTAAGGATCAATTTTAGTAAAAAATTGAATAACATTGCGTATCAAAATTGTGATATCACCAAAAATACAGAGTAGAATACGAAAATGAAAATAAAAATGTTGAAAAGGCAGTTAAAACAATAATAAATTGCATTTTTTATAAATTGCTTAAATTCAAGACTGCGGTGAGGGAGAAGTACTTTGAGTTTGGCTCTTGTTTTCCAGCTTAAACTCACTCGCGAATTACCATTTCAAATTTTATTACACTGAATGTACCCCCCCTGGGTCAGCAGGTGGGGGTAACATTCAAGTTTCTATATTATTGCATAGCGTCATTTTCCCGGATCCGGAATGGCTAGAATTTAGTGCTCTGTTTTGATTTACGAGTACGCTACACCTGCAACATCGTCTCCAACCCCCG